AACATAAACATAAAATACATAAACCAAAATACAAATCAACTGTGTGTCCCCACCACCACCACCATAGTCAGGACCTCTTGCAGTAATCCTCTTCTTCCTCTATCTTTATTCTTCTTCTTCCTTTATTGTCCTCTTCTCCAGAACTGCACTGATTCTTAATTTGGAGCTTTCCCTTTTGACACATATATCTCTTACTGACTTAACAAAAGCTTCAGCAGCTTTTTCATGTGGAATCAAACAAACTTTATCTATTTGCTTTCATGGCATGACATCTGTTCCCAAGCAGATGTAGGCAGAATAGTGCTCCTCTGGTTCAAAATCCCCCTCTGAATCACAATTGCATGCCTAGTATCCTTTCTTTGCCCGTCTTTTAATTCTACCACATATTTGTCTTGAGAAAAACCTTGTGCAGATAGCTCATGAAGCATATACTGTGGTCTCTTTGCATTTTCCTTTTTTGGGGGGTAGAGCAATAAAGGCTAATTCCAGTTAGTTGGTCTTGACTGAAAATATTCACCAATATAATAAAACTTCAACAAAGCCAAAAATGCAGCTTGGGCTGCATTTTTGGGCATTTATTGATAGCTGTATTCCACTTCAAATTTTTTAATTTCTGTATTTCCTGCCCTGTATTAACATCTAGTGCAGTGAATTCTGTTGGTCTTCAATGAGCTCTTTAATGTACACTATAGCTAGTAACATGTTGCCAGGGAATGCACTGTGGAACAGTTGGTTACACATACAGTTGCCTTCTGGTCACTGCTCATGCAAGGCAGAATCCAGCAACCTCTGGCGTGAGCCAAAAGCCCCATTAAAGACAACAAGGATTTCTCTGGCTTGCCTAAGTGCAAGCCACGGATCTGCAGGGCTCAGCCAAAACATGCCACCTGCACACTTCCTGCTTCCATGAGAAAGAACATGAAACTAGGCTATGATTTTACCCTTGACATCAAGTTATCAGAGAACGATAACCACCCATCAATAGTTGGCATAATCATTTCTGGGTATGCCTGCTACCTCATTGATCATTTTATATACAGTACATTTAAGGAGATATGAATATTCTCTAGGTTTTTCATTTTTGTTAACTCTTTGAATAATAATTTATCTTTCGTTTAAAGAGACATTCTGTAGTCTCTATAAGCTGTCGCATTTCCCTTTTTCGGTAACAAAGCTTCTGAAAAGCTTTTACATTTCTCCTTATAGGATTTTAACCTATAAATCTGACCTCTTGGGGGTGTCAGTGGGCGCCAACCCCAAAATATGTTCCATTGATTAGATCAGTTCTACTAAAAACTAGTTCTGCCCAGGGAGGAGGGTTTTTTTTTAAAGGACAGTTTTCACCCCATAATTCCATTTTTTTAATGGTATATTTGAGTAGAAGCAGAAGGTGACACATACGTAAAGCTTTCAGAAGGTGGATGGACTGGAAAGTGGAATGGCAGCGTCAGTGAATAATAACCATAATAAAAAGGTTACCAAAAAGAAAAAAATCCACACTCTCCACTGTTCATTTGTTTGTAGAAAGATAACATGAAAACGTCTTATCAACCATAGTCATAGCTACAGCCACTGCACAATAATATTATTCTTCCTGTGGGTGACAGAAATAGGAAGCTTATTGGAGAGTCTATGTAGGCCTTTTGTTGATATTGTATTCCAGATCGACACTGCCCACTTTGCTGTTTGAAACACACTGAAAAAAACTTTAAATGAACTAAAACTACCTTTTTCTCCATGTTCATTTGCAGGAAGATTCTGAATATCATCTTCCTTCTTTATCAGAGCATTGAGCAATTTTAAATTACAGATGTATATGAAAAATAGTTTAAATTAAAAACCAATTACAATGTTAAGATAGACTATCCTTGACCAGAAATGGGTTACTTCAATAACATTGTCTTCCTCATTTGCTGTATCTTTTGTACATGTGGTGGGGCATGAGTTGCATGTACGTAAGCACTGCATTGAATGAATTTCTCCGCAGTCACAGAACATTTGTTCTGCATCCAAGTAGCCCCATTTTACTTGATTATTCTTGATCTTCCTCTTTTGCTTCAAAGTCTATTAAGTAACTTCCAGAGGGTCCAGCTAGCATCTTGTCCTGGTGGGAGACACCCTTCAGCATTTATTCCTTCGGCAAGGTATTGTTTTTGTTCTCCATAGGTTTAGCCTAGCCTCTCCTGGTTTAATATTTAGAGTTTGAGATGTCTGCAGGAAACTTTCCCTTGGTTTTAGACATCCTCTAAGGCAGTGGTCCCCAACCTTGGGCCTCCAGCTGTGCTTGGACTACAACTCCAAGAAGCCTTCACCACCACCTCTGCTGGCCAGGATTTCTGGGAGTTGAAGTCCACAGAAGAGACTAACAACAGGCTGGGCAAAGAAATATTTTCTTTTGCCTGTTTTCACTCTCCTGACTCTCAATTGGAGTGGATGTCCCCTGGTTCTGGTATTGCGTGAGGGGTGGGGGGGGGAAGCATCCCTTTATCTACTTTATCCACTCCAGTTTTGCAGTTCTAAGAATATGTCAACCTTGGACACTTCTAATTAACTTGATGATGTTGTGTGAAGAATTTTTTCCACAGCTGAATAAATGAGTATTTGGAAACTCAATTCTTCTACATCCAGAGTTTTGCTTCTGTATGTGAAGAGAGCTTCTCAGCAAAGGTTTCCACCATGACTGTCATACACATTATCTTCATGAGTTCTGTCATTTACTGATTTCAATACAGTACACTGGTTTTTAATACCTGATGCCGATGAAAGCTCCTGTTCTTTTCTAACAGAGAAGATGAAAAAATATTTTGTAAAATGGATGTTTCCACAAGTGATGACAAAGACCCAGAAGATACAACCACACTAGAAGATGAAGTGAGAGGCATATTTCTTTATTATGCGACTGATTCGTAACAAAAAAAAAATTCATTCAAGGTCAAAATTAAAAGGAAAAACACACACCCTAAAGTATAGAAACCTATATAGTCATGAGAAAATGTCTAGTGGTTTCTCGGACTTCAAGGTTCATTTGTTTATTTATATTTTTCTGTGTCAATTTGCATGAGATATAAAAATCTGAAAATGGTGGCATATTATCTCCCTGCCACTCCAATGCATTGTGAGAATTTGGAGGAAAAACTAACCTACTCATTATGGACAACCCACTTCCCAAAGATCACTCATTGGCTCTCTTTTCTACTTAAAACCATAATACATCACACTGTGGGCATGACCACACAAAGGTTTGTCCCAGTTTGAGGCAAAATTTTCTATACTGTACCTTGGTATTTAAATCAATGTTGCTATTCACACAGAACTATTCAGTTATCCCAAGAAGATGCTTTTCAAGTGTCAGTCCACCCGGCCCCTCACCATTCTCTGCCATAATTACCAACCTCTCATATATATATTTCCCTGGGAATCCAATTCCACTTTTTAAAAAGTTAGCAAGTAAAATAGGAATGAACTGACAAGGCATGGTAAGCATTTGAATTAATGTTGTAATGATTTAAAGCTATAAAACTACGTTTGGCTATAGTTATGTGAAACAAGAGCATAAAGTATTTTTAAAAATACAATTTACAAATCCCATTGCTGTTGTAGTACTTACTAGGGCACATAGAAGGCAGGCAAAAGGTATAGGGTTCACTCCCACACCATGCCTTAGTCTGTGAAAACAGAGCATATTAAGTTAAAAAGAAAAAAGAAAAATCCCAAGGGGGAGGGGAGTACTGGATGTATTATGAATGTTGATATGAAATTGAGTTTATGTTTTTGTTGTTAGTTATGTTGCTTTTTATTTTTGTCTTTTATTTGTCATATTTTTTAATTATTGTTGATTATTAAAATAAAAAGGAAATGGAGAAAAAAATTAAAAGCATGTACAGTATCTTGGAAACTGTAACTGCAGTGACTTTTTCACTAATTGAAAAGGCCACTATAAATTGGAAGCAAACAGATACAGTACTGTACATAACAACATATTGTTTAAAAAAAATAAGTAACATACTACTGACCATTGCAGGAAAAAAATGAATTAAAACTGGCAAGCTAAGGGAAGCTGTTACGTGGTGGAAGGCAATGCTTGCAGCAAGGACAATATGTTGTACTATAGAACGAACGGCCCCAGCGCTCTTCGCCCGAACGAATCGGAGGATGAAGGTGAGGAGTTTGCGGGGAGCAAACTCTCGGTGCTCGTTCTCCATCATCTGCCCGTCCTTGTATCGGAGAAAGTTCTTGCCGCCGGCGAGCTGCCTGGAGAGGAGAGAAGAAGGTGCTTGGAAGTGATCAGAGGGCAACCCCCAGCCTGTAGCGAGCCGGCGGGACGGGTAGCGAGGGAAAAACTCGGCGACCCAGGAGGACTGTTGCATGTCTGTGTGTGTGTGTGTTGCGGGCCGGGGGGGGGGAGCGGGCGGCGGCGGAGAGGGAAGGTGTGTCTTCCACTCTCCCCTCCCGCCTTCCTCGGAGCCTGCCCCGCCCTACTTAAATCTCCCTTAGCGCCTGTCAGGGCGGCCGGCGCGGCTCCGCCTAAAAAGCTTGCCAGCTCGGAAAGAGGGAGACGGAGAGCCGGAGCGTCGGTAGTCAAGGTCGCTCGCGCTGAAGGAGCACCGAGGAGGGAAAAGCCCAGCCGCGAACCGAAAACGCCGCTTCCCGTGTTTCTCGTCACAGGGGACCAGAGGGACGGCTCGTGCCGCCGCGGGACTCCCGGGCTGGTGCTTTCGCCCTCGCGCGCTCTCTAAGACGCCGGGGACCCGTTTTGCCTTTTCGCCTCTGCCCCTGAAAAGGTGGCAGGCAGGCAAGCAGGCGGGCAGGCACCAGAGAAGGTCACGGCAGCAGGCCGGCGGTGGGTTCAGGGAAAGGCCAGGAGACCGGAGTTGAGTGGGCAACGCAGGACAGCCCGGCGCCGGAGTCCTGTGAGGCGGCTGCGCCCGGGGGGCCGCTTGTGTTGCTGTGCCAGGAGGCGAAAGCGCGGGGGCAAGGAAGGCCAGGAAGGAGCGAGAGCCATGGGGGTGCCGGTGCCTGGAGAGAACGGCCTCTTGGGCTCTCTCTGGAAGAGGCTGGGTTGCAGGATGCGACCCCAGCAGCACCCGGCCGGCGACGGCCGGCGCAGCATCGACGAGATGCACCTGTTGCAGCAGAAAAGGTGAGGCGCGCGCGCGAGTCCCGGGGCGGCGGCGGGGATGCTGTGAGGCGCTTTCGCGCGCTTTTTTCCTCGGGACATCTTGCCAGCCTTGGGGAGGGGGGGAATCGCCCGGCAGGGAGGTGGGAGGCGGCGTGGGTCTGAAAAATATTATTGGTCTGAAAAATATTACATTAGAAGGTGATTCCCTATTCTGTCTCATTGTGGTCCTTCTCCTCAATTCAGAGAGGAGCCATTTTCTGTGGGTGATACTTTTGGGCATTCCATGTAGGGAAACAGAGTTATTCATATACTTGTAACAAAATCAGTCTTTGCACCAAGATTGTCAGGGACTGTTCGCCTCTTGTAGATTGTATTCAGTCTGTCTTGCACTGGCTTCTGAAGTGAAGGTTTTTTTTTGTACCTAAGACAGCTTATCTTTCTTAACTTAACAAGAAACCAACAATGTAAGAATGTTTATTTTCACAAGGGATCTGAAGGTTCTTGTTGCACAAGAGCTGCCACCAGCGCAGTTTACTAGCTTGGTAAGAAGCTATAACTTGGTAGGAAGGAAGTGGATCCAGACACTCTGTGTACACACACATTTCATGTACCAGGATAAAGTTGCATTTGCTAGCTTTCACATGTTTCTAGGGCAACTTCAGCAGCTCCTCTAACAATGAGGTTTTGGAACTGCCTTCCTTCAAATCATTCCAAAAGGCAAAATAATTTGCTGACAGCAGATACCTGAAAACACTGGTTTTCTTTGTTAAATGTCACCCTGCCCTGGTCTTTTCTTTTTCTTTTTTTAAACAGAAGAGGGTTCTGTCTGGAACATGACTATTTTGTCCCCTTCAAATTTGTTCTATGCCATTTGTACAGAAGGTCTTTTCCTAACTGAGGATGGGGCAAACAGTCCATAATTAGATAGTGCCCTTCTATCCTAGATATGCATTCTGTTCTATCGTCCTGATGGACATCTGGTCAAGACATGGGTTGTGCACACAGGTCTTATGCTATAATTAATCACATGGTTATTAAAACAATTCTCTTTTCATTCTCTCCGTAAACAGTTGGGGACCCTTCAGTCATCTTGTGGGGGAAAAGAAGTATAAGGGCATACGTGCTCAGGTTTTTAAACTGACTTGCGCAAGAAAATGTATTCCTGGGTAAAGTAACTGAGGGTTCAATTGAATCCTAATTCAAGGTGGCTTTCCCATGCCATCTTATGACAGAGTTAGCTTTGGATGATGGGTAAGAATGAAATACAAATGTCCGTGGAAATGCCCTTGATCTTGCCAGGGCTCTACAAAGACAGGAAGAGGCTGAATCAATCCCCATGGAATGGGGTCTTTATGATAATAGGCAAGATCATCTGTAAGGAGATGATGGGCAGCCTTATTCTTAACATGAGACTTCCTCCCCCCCATGAGGTTCTCAAAAATATACATTTTAAGATGCTTTCAGGACTGCTATGAACATTTTTTTTAACAAACAGAAAGGCAGTCATCGCTTCATGCATATGTGAAGCATCCACCTCAAAGGCAGGTTTGAAGACTGGTGTGCCTAGACTTTTGCATAGTGCTGGTGCACTCATGCGCATGAAAACAGCCCAATGTATTGTGTTCTGATGCCATCTGGGGAATCTTCCCTCTTGGGCATCCAACTATTTTGGTTGATCCTACTGATGGGCAGTACAGCAGGTGTATTCAATCCTTCCCTCTCATTTATTTGTTTATGCTGTTTGGAAGTTCCTAATATACTGTATGTGCAGAGTCAGTGAGTTTGGGGGAGAATGATTTATACTCTTGTCCGGTGTAGCTTTTATATTCATGTAAAACAAAGTGTTTTAGTTTTAGATCAGTTTCAATCTGGTGTATGCAAGCGCACTCAGAAACATATTAGAAATCCCTGCATTTATAAACCCTTTGAAAATGCTTGTGCTTAGAATATGCATTTCATTGAGAAGTGGCTCCTTTTCTGCTTTCTGTATTGTGTGAACAACATTTAGAAATGATGCACTGGACAGTAATAAATCTCCTTAATATTATTTATGAAAATTCTAGGAAGCCTGAGTGTGTTTGTTTTCCTGGAGGGAAGTCTCACTGAATTTAGTTAAATATATTCCTTGTCCGTGTATGCATGGTCTGAGAATTCATTTAGTCCTAGGTTTCACTTGAGATGGTGAACCTATGTCTGAGCTGTACCGCTTTAGACTGCAGCTGGGGATCTTACAAGAATATAAGAACATAAGAAGAGCTCTGCTGGATCAGGCCAAGGGCCCATCTAGTCCCAGCTTCCTATATCTCACAATGGCCCCACTAGATGCCTCTGGGAGCACACGAGACAACCAGATACCTGTCTCCTGATGCCCCTCCCCTGCATCTGGCATTTGGAGGTACCTTCCTTTTAAGCCTGGAGATTGTACATCCCCATCATGGCTTCTAACCTGCGATGGACTTTTCCTCCAGAAATCTGTCCAATCCGTTTTTCAAGGCATCTAGGTCAGGTTCCGTCACCACATCCTGTGGCAAGGAGTTCCACAGACTAACAACACACTGAGTAAAGAAATAGTTTCTCTTGTCTGTTCTCACTCTCCCAACACTCAATTTGAGGGGATGTCCCCTGGTTCTGGTATTGCGTGAGAGGGAAAAGAACTTCCTCCTATATTCACTCTATTCCCTCTTCCCTTATGCCTGAATCTTTCTCCAATCCATCCCCAAAATTATTTACACGTAGAAAACTAGGTGTCAAAAGGAGGGCTCAGTGAAAATCTTTCTCTCCTCAGTATCCAGTTTCTATGAGGATGGATAGTTTGTTAAAACACACTCATATGAATCAATTCTGTGGAAGTGTTTCACACTTGTTGGCTTTAATGGATCCTAAAGCCCTTCCAGCAAATCATCTTTTGCCTTAGCACAACCAAGCATTGAGATTTGATTACTCTGTAGGTGCAAAGAAAAGCTTGTCGATCCTTATGAAGTCCTAAAGCACCATAATGTTTAGCCTTTAAAAGGCCGTTTGAGAATGCCTGGATAGCAAAATCCAAAGGAGGCCCTCACTTGGGAAGATGATGCAGGAAGAGCTGTTGAGAGTTCTTGTCTATTACTGTGGGTCTGGGAGAGATTTTCAGATGAATCAGATGTGTTTGTCTTCTGTTCTACTGCCCTTAGTGGCATCCTACGTCTGAGGTCTCCCTCTTGAATTTGTAAGCCTTGGTGCTGAATTTGGTGGTGGGAAGCTGCTTAAATCAAGACTAGGACAAAAGAGTAGAGTGCGAATATTTTGCATTCAGCATTGTTCTTTTCTCTTGAAATCTCCAAGAAGGCAGCTTAGCAGCTTGGAGAATGATTAAAACTGTGCAGATGGGATGATCTCTGTATTGATCAGATATTAAATGATGCTGATCAAAATTACTGAGAATAAATTTGTAGATAAGAAACTCAAGGAATATTTGAAAATTGTACAGACATTCAGAATTAGGCCAGTCAGTATAACATTTCCACGCAGTTGAGGTTTCGAAGGAAGGCTTGTGGATTCCTGTGTATGAAATCCTTAATGTGAAATAGAACATTTCTCAAAGCACATTTGACTTTTTGCCTGAAGTGTAAAATGTGTAAGGCAATTCCTGAAATGTGGGGAGGCCAGTACAGTATATGTTTAATGGCTTTTGCCTGTGGTCTGTAGTTATTCAGTCTCATGTGATTTCACAGGATACCAGCACCCCATTCTGCTGAATAGATTGATCAGATCAAAGACACATGATTATTAAATCAGATTAAACATACATAACCTTGAAGGACAATATGGAGGGCAGTTTTGTGAATCAAGATAAACTGCCTAGCAAGAGGCTAAGAATTCCTCTTATATCTTACACTTTTGCATAGCTTGGAAACACCATGTATACGTATTGGTTTACAAGGATTTTAGGTGTAGCTATATCCTCCTCTTTAGTCTTTCCCATACTTATAATTTTCCATTTGAAGAAGTTACAGAACAACTATTGTAAAGAGTTCAGCAATTGTTGAAAGTGGCAGAATCCACTGCTTTGTGTTTTAGAACTTGGCCAACCTGAGGCTTTACAAAAAGATAGGGAGAACCTTTTATCTGAAATCCAGTGCAATCAGTTTGTTCTCCTCTGGTAATAATTAGAGGCGGCTGAAAACTGATGGACTCATAGGCACTCCGGGTTGAAATTGTGGGGCATACCTCATGTTTGCCTTGTAGTATCCTACATAGGTATAAGCTATGGGAGCTAGTTGTATTGTTCAGTTAATAGCATTTTGAGCTTGGAAATGTGGAGACCAGGTTGAAATCCCACACCAGTCATGAACTCATGAGGTCACACTGTGAAGACCACTGTCTCTTAGCCTCGAAGAAGAGATGATAAGATTTTTTTAAAAAACTGCTGCTGCCACTATACACCCCTTGAGTGACATCTAGGGTACCACCATGCATGCCTTGACAGCATCATGAATAGTGTTGCACATCCCATACTCCAGACAGAAGTTATATGAGTTACAAGATGTAGAACATAGCATTAATATCATTATGAAAAGTGAAAAGTGATTAAGGTGGAAGTAGTGCCATGTCTTGCTCTATTTCTAGTCCTCTTTTACTAGTCCATTGTAAAAGAAAAAAGAAAACAATTAGCCCCAGGTGTGGAAAAACAAGAGGTACAGTCTGCAAAACATGTGACCCCTAAAATTGATACCTTCTTTATTATAATAAACATAAAATGTGTTTTATGGCACCTGAAAGATGCATATATTTATTTGGCATAAGCTTTCAGGAACTTCAGCCCAGGTCTTCCGATGTCTGCAGAAGTGAATTGTAAACCACAAAAGCTGAAACTGGTAATTAGCTAGTCATGAAGGTGCCACAACCCCTTTACCAGTTTTTGTTCAAACAAATTAGCATGGTTATATCTCCAAAAGCAAGGCTGTTTTTTGGTTTTGTTGCGACTGAGTGATGTGTACTCTTGTAGAAGTTTTATTATTATAATTAACATCATTAAACTATAA